GATGTCTCTGAAATATACCATATTGGAGTATTGATAAAACCAGATAGACTCACTAAATACCAGACCACGTAACTTTGAAACTGATTATAGGTATTCACTATTCAGGGACCAATTTATAGTATTTTCCGAAAATGACTTACGTTATTTAGGTTCTATTGTTATCGACGATATATGCATATACTATTATTGCCAATCTGTATTGGGTCTACCATATCTATACTCACCAGGTGTCGCAAATCTAGGAAGAAGTTTTTTGTCCAATCACAGCACCTGTCAAATATTGAATGCCCAATGGTGTGACGGCAGCTAATTCCCTATTGGACAAAGAACGAGAGGTTCATACTAGCGCCCTTTGGTTAGCAAAAACACGGTAGGCCCTGTTGAACTTCAGGCGAGGAGACAAACTCTCATTAAATATGTAGTAAACATTACGTCAAATTACACAAACTGTGATATAATACTAGGTATGACAAATTTAGTAAATCAAGGACATCTTCGTTGAACTAATACTTATAAATTAGTCGATCGTGGGACCTTGGGTAGGTAACTCACAATTGTAATTTAGTATGACAACCGTAGCTAACATGACTAGTTATTTGTTAAAACAATTTGTTTGTCTTCCCTATTTTGTAGTCACAATCTGAAATTATGATATTTATTGTCCCGTAAAAACAACAAATCTGAACCAAAATCTAGCAAACGAAAATTTCTGAAATAAAGTTCGCAATATTTTTTTAAGACTATTACAAAAGTATGGTTTTGTTAATTTGTATACATTTTTTGTGCACATAACCGCTAGCGGTTACTACGTGGTACTAGCCTACTGGTACCACGACCGTGTGTCATGCGTAGCACTCCCACACCGGCCACGCTGTATTGAGGTTCTTTTGCGCGATAAATGAAGAACTCCTAAGAAGTCTTCCTACGCCCTGTATTAAAGGGTTCTGTAGAATCTTCACTTAAGTACAGTTAGTTCGTTTTTCAATCTCTAAAGTATCTTTTATTTATATCACTACACATAAACCCTAGTGGCTTTAAAATCAGCCGATCGGTTACCTTTTGAACTCATAAAAAAATTTAACTAACAAAATACCACTCAATGAAGTTTATCATTAGTTTACGCAAGAAAAATGTTACGGATGTAGGTATGTAATTTCTTATTTAAACTACTGAATGAGTCTTATCGTTTGTTTTAAGTATATTTTACCTCTTAGATAAAAATATAGCAATGTGAATAAAGTTTATTTTTGCGTGACGTTATCACAAATATTGGCTCTGCGAAGATTAAGTATCATAGCACATTATCGATTGACTGAGCGACTTTGGTCTGTTGTCCACGATGCATCTTTTGAAGAATGCATGCATTCGTTAAAAGCAATAGGCGGTTTTAACATTGCCACTTCTTTGGCAGTTTTAATTATTTCTAAGCAAGACGCAAGCATTGCAGGATGCATGCATTCGTCAATGACGCTACGTGAACAGTCACCCTTACTTTTATAGAAAATACACATCCCAAATAAGTGAACTGTAAGATCATTAAAGCTATCACTGTATAATTTTTCTGTGCTTTGTCCATTATTTTGCGAGTGAAGTAAATGTTTTTCTTTCCTTTTAAGATATGTAAATTAGCACTAAGTTAGGATTTCCTAAAATTCCTACAAAGACAGGAATATGAGGAATCATTATGCACGTACGAAGGCGTACGCAAGAACTACTTATTAATAAAATTGATTTACTTGTTAAACTGGTATTTTAAAATACCTGCATCTTCGTATCAAATTATAGTAAACTTCATAAGATTACTTAATTTGTTACGCATCCATTTATTTTTAAGGCTACGCTACACTACTTTCACGAAGACACAGCTACGCTAGCGATAAATTCCCTAAACATATTTTACTCATTTCGAAAAGATTGTGCTCCACCGTAGACCACATCTTCGCTTAACACCAGGCGAGAGAGTCAAACATCGGCCCACCAATTATATAAAAAGACTATTAGTCTTATAATGTGGCAAGAGAACAAATCCCCGAATTGCTTATTAGTACGTTTTCAGGCAGACGACAAGTTTAACTACAATTTAAAAACAAATTAGTGATACAATCGTAATTTTCTCATAAATAGCACGAGCCATGAAGTCTAGAATTGTGTCCGCTACCTCATCCCCTATAACAAAGACTTCAAACCTAGCAAAAAATGTGTAACAAAAGTACTTCCCTGCACGACCTTTTTTTGAGGGGGAAAAATTTACAGGACTTTTTTTGTAGTAACAATCTTAATGCTAACAGAGAGTTAGAGAATTAAAAAATATTAGACACGGATTTTTAATTTACGTCATGTAAGTAGTCAATACTTACGATACGAATTTAAGTTTTGGAGAGGGAACTAACTATTTCACAGTACCCTATAAAATGTAGAAAATCATAACGTCACACGATATTTCAAACCAATATATCATTGAAAGTATTTCCTTCTGTGAGAAAATAAAAAATACGTGTCTAATGTTTTAAACTAATCTACCAGACGGATATTCAAACAAAAATAAGGAAACTTTTAATAAATAATGTCGTGTTAACAGCTATTATGCAGCATTCACTGTATCACGACCATTTTAATACCCCAGTCAAGTTGACTGTAATACAAGACGGTCTCTCATGACTGCTTCTCGTGGCTTCTCCTTTGAGACTCAGATTCAAGAGAGATGACATTTTATTCATGTTTAACACATGTTTTGGGTGTTAAGCACACCTTGATAAGTTGTAAGTAATGAGCAATCTGAATTGGAGTTGCTCTCAAAATAGTATCATGGTTTATATTCTCTGAGGATCTAAAGGGCTTTCATTGATTGTCTTTTGTCGGTTTTATGCTTCTATAGTAGGATTTTTTTCTATTTATTGAAATAAATTGAGCACTAAATTTAATGTATGTCGAGAACTGTATCTTGATATAAGTCTCGAAATATCGATTGTATTTGTCTAACGAAAGTAGAAACCATAAAAATCCTCATTGAATAAAATAAAAATTATAAAAAAATAAAGGAAGATAGTACTGCTTACCCCTTTTGTATCCACACCCAGGTATAATCAACGAATTAGACGTTTTTATCTAGCTAAAGTTTACGTATATATAATAATTCATTTTACAGCTGCAAATTGTGACGTATGATTCGCTTAGCTACGCCAGTAAGAATCTCAAGAATTTAACTGTATTGCAAATAAAAATGTATTCTATTTTTCGGGGATTAGGGTTTAAAATTCTAGTGTTTTATATGGGGTGGTTTAGCCCTTTTGTTAGTGCGAGGGTTGATAAGAAACCCGATTAATGTTACTTAAAGAGTGATCTTGAGGTGGTTCCGTAGATAGGGTACACACTTTACTACTTAGTAGCCTATGTTTCATGCCACCGAGGGAAGGCTAAATATTTTCACATCAAACACCATTTCTCGTCTTATTTTTACAATTATTTTTAATTGTTTATAATGTTTCGTCATTACGTAGTGCTTGAGTCATTTCTATTTTGTTTTTTTTTTAAGTCTAGGCGTTTCTTTAGTCATTGTATTATGTTCAGAACTGGATGTTTTGTGACTGATATGATGATCGTAAAGAGGATAGAAAAAAAAATGCTGTGCTAATAGACTTACGTCTATCCTATAATAACAATATACTATAGTACAAAAAGTAATGGTAGGTGCAAGTTTATTTTTACATGACTTTGAAGTCTTTGGCCAAGTGGTCGCAAGGCTACACGTCGGCAAGGGTCTCTAATTCATTCCCGTGTGGGCAAAACATTTATGGGGTTTTAAAATACTCACACTGGGTAGTATCACGCAGTCTGGAAGTGTGCCTGATATATGGCAATAGGCTCACCCCCTATTACATGGATCTCATAACATAAATAGTGAAAGAAGGTGTAACATTGTACAGTGGAATTAAGTGCCGTAATGTGCACCTCTGACTACCCCTTTGGCGATAACAGACGTGATGTGATCTTATATTATGTTATGATTTGGTTCTTTAAAACTTCCCAACAAAAATCTTTTACTTAATCCCCTCAGCTCTTAATGTAAGAGACACACAGATATATTAGAAACGATACACCAATCACTTGGCGACGAATCCATAGAAAATATTGAATGCATCTTGCCGTCTTGGCCCTAATCTGAAATTTTCCCGCGCGGCGCGTTCATTGCTAATCCGTTTACGAGAAATATGCTAAGTTGGTAAGCATGTGGTTTACTACACTATAACGTAAGTGATTCTCTACATCACTTCACACTTGCATTTCTGAACAGACACGTACAAAAGTTTCTCGCTTAATGGCAGCGTTATAGGTTATAGGTATAAAGGTTATAATGTAATGGTGTGTATGTTTATTGGTCTTCGAAAGAAAAATTATTGAAAGAAAACGGTTTCGCAGAGCCTCTCGATGTCAGCTCATTGATCTCAGATTTTTTAGTACACATAAAAGTTCATTAGAACGATTTTATATCTGAATTTAATAAATCCTAAAACACACAGCAGTTAAAACTACATTAAAAAAATTTAAAACCTGCACCTATCGTGAACATCTAAGAATTTTCAAATAGTATCATTGTTAGGAAGCGTCGCCTTATTGTCTCAAGTGAACGTGGTAACCAGTCGGTCGGAATAACACCTCGGAAAGATCCAACTATCCTACTAATCCTCGCAACTGTCGTTCTAAACTTCCTCAAGTGTCGACCGGACTCCAGAAAGGCTTGTAAAATCTAGTCAGACCGAAACTTTGCTAGCAAAAAATCTCCAACAGCTCGGCGACCGTAGAATTTTTCTGAGTATTCCGAAACTAGATTTCTGCTAATTAAACTCGATTTAACAAGTCTATAAAATGAGAGATGATAATCTCCATTCGTAGGGAACAGGGATATAATGAACTGTCTAATTGGCATGCCAATATTTTAAATTCTTGTGCAATCACACGTAGTATCAATGAAAAAGACGTTTGTTAAAACTGATTCTGAGGTAGTAGAGGGTAGCATCTAGGTTTATAGGTAGGTCAAACTCAATTCACTGGCTATCTTAAAAACCTTATAATGATCCCATCTCATTCAGATCAGTCCTCGTGTTTCGCTGTGCTGAAATATCTAGTTAAGTCTCTTTTTACGATCCCTCCCTACCAGTCTTCAGTTCGTTACTAAGTGCTCGATTTCCTCCGAATCCCATCGACTAATGAGTTATTCAACCCGCGAGATGCAGTCATAGGTTGAATTATACGGTGGCTTCGACGGTGTTCCCGCCAACGCTCCTATCGCCAGTCGGCTTCCACCCGTGCGCTCGGACGCACGTCCTCGCAACACCCCGCGCGGTCTCACATCAACCCGTAAGTTTCGCGACACATCGAACACCACACAGAACGGTAACAAATCAGTGGAAGTTTTATAAATTGCTTCAATATTTTTACTAACGTTAAAAAAATATTTTTCCCAAAAATTGGCATCGAATGCTTCACGGTTGTACGTCTTCTGAGAAAAATAGTTTGTAACTTTTCGACGATTGCATCGGCGGGGAAACTTAGCGTGCTAACTATTGACAAGTCTCGGCGTACTTTTAAATTGTGAAAAATTAAGATTTTTCGGCCGTCAGCAGGTGAAGGCTTACGTTATCTTCTTATCATTGCAAACAATAGTTAGATCAAACTGCTGCTATCTCTACACGTAAGATGTTTTACGACATTATAGATAATCTTGGCACTGGTGACCTATTGTACTTGTAATTTGGGTTACATTGTTCTGGTTAATTATCTTATAGAATATATATTTTTTTAAATATGCTATATAAATTTTCTTGCGCGTAAAATAGGGTCTAATAACGTCTCAATGTGTTGAGACTCTTAAACATTAAATAATTTTAATAGAACCCGTCTGGACCGGGAACTGCGCCCGAGGTCCCGTCGGACAAATCCTTAGAAGTGCTTCTAATACGCGTCAGGTCCGGGAAACAATAAAGAACAGCTCTTTTCTAGATCCAACCGTATAACTAAAACCTCTGTAGATAAATTGAGTCTTACTATTCGGTTCTATCAGTGTCTTTTTTTCTTAATTGAAAAATATATGACAAAGTCATAAATTACTGTAAAGACGAGCTTTGTTAATTGATTTATTATATAAATATAATACATAAATAGTAAATCCTATGTACGATGTGAATACTTTGGTTTATTAAAAAAATCTGCCATAATTATGACCGAAACCTAAATTATTTGTGACACAATATAAATTTTAAATTTCTACCTATTGATTTTTACATAAAATTCTGCCAAAATCAGAGGCAATATTAAAATGCACAATAGAATTAAAAGGCTTGACCAATGTTTCTTATCTTACTTGATTTAAATATTAAAAAGGTGCAGTAATAATCACGAAAATACATACCCAATAGAGTGCTCAAAAGAAAACATTTAGGTACTCCATAACATTTCCCAGCCGTCTATTACTCTAAAACCTTCAATCTCACTATAAAAACGCTACATTGCGACGAAATAGAACTATTCGTAATATCCTTACTTAAAGTAATAGGTCTGTTAAATTAATAATACAAATAAGTAACCAACAGATGTCATAATTATGTTGGTTACAGCCCTGCAATCTTTTAATAGTTGATATATCTATAAATTTTAAAACACGGAATATAATATCAACCATACTTTTCTATTCTCCTCTAATCCTAGGTCATAAGCAGCTCAGGGCTTGACTATTTTCTTACAAATAATACCAAGGATTTCCACTAAGTTGTGAACTAGAATTCACTAGTTTCCACCATCTTATTTATATCAAAGCGCATTAAGATCAAATGGCATTTCGTTTGTAGAGAAATCTCTTTCGTTGGCTTCGGAGTTGGTAAAAAAACCATATCAATGTTTTCTTTGTGGGTTAAATTACTTGAGATGAAAAATTCCCCAAGCCTGAGTTCTCCGTTTATCTTACTATTCTGTAAGTAGCATAATATATTAAAAAAATAACTGGAGACAGTAATACGATGAATGCTTGTGTCAACGAGGAAATGTAGGTACTACTTTGATGTTCAAATAAAGTTCAGAATGTTTTGAATTAAAATGATCCAGTGTAACAACAACCAGTACTAGGTGTACCGGATCATGTTCTTTATGCATTAAGATTTTTTTCTCTATTTTCGTCTTTGTGTTGTACGGTACTTGTTGCACCCATTTTTAAGAGTTTGAACTGAGATTAAGTTTTGTCTTTAGTATTATTTATTGTTGATTATTTTAATTAGATATTTAAATGAGAAAACTCGTAAATAGTTGTTTAATTTTTGTTGCGTTTAAATTGTATTATTGTTAAACGATTTTTTAATAAAACTGAAATGTTACACAGGTTACAAAAAACATACAAACTTCAATATCTTAATTAAAATGTTAGTTCAAAATTGATTAAATTCAAAATTTTATTAATCTTAGTTCAAAATTCGATAGCAAATCCCCTACAAGTAAAGTCAAAAATTAAATTTAATTTAAAGACAATATAATATTTTAATGAAATAATTGAGACCAGTTATTATTAATTTCGGTCGTAACTCAGTTCGACAATTGTGACGAACGAGTGCGCTCTTGATGCAATGGTCTGCATTTTCGAAGTGCATCTGAGGTGCGCAAAGGTGCGCGTGCGCGGGTTACTAACGGTACCCATTTCATTCGGGTTAACAACCCTGTTCGACGTAGGGTCGCCATTTTAGGGTTATTTTTTTATTTTAATATGTTGTACGCATTGTTTGGTTTATTAAGCGAGTTCGTGTATTAATCTTTATAGTTAGAAACTTATAAATTTTTTGGTATTCTCATTGTTATTTTCACTTTATAAACATAATTAAAATTCATTTTCAGGGTAGTTTAATAAATATTCAATCTCAACGTATAATTTATCAGTGACAAGTTTATACACATAAATGATAAAATGACTGTATTGTATTTCTCTATGTAGATTCAGATTTCTGCTTAAGTTACAAAAATAAAACAAATAAAGAACAATAGTCAACTAAAAGCAAAAAGCATTAATAAACATCCGATAACAAAACACACATCAACAAAATCTCACAAAACAGTTCTAAAGAATAAGAAATTCAATACACAGACGATATGATTAGAGAACTACATAAACAAATCGTATCGTATGGCAGCCCTGCGCATGATTCGTCCGCGTTGCCAGGTGTGTACTGCCAAATGTCCGTCGCTTCGTTAGAAACATAAATTTGAATCGCTGTTAAGGCATAACCTATTAACGCATGTCCAGTTACATTAGCGAATTAGGTTACTGAACTAGATCAGCTCATAATTTTAGTTTTATGTCAGTCTTTAGCTTGGGCAATACCTATTTGAAGTGAAATGTCAATATTATTAGCCCTCTGAGAAGCTAGTTGAACGTTGAGATTGATTTTGACATTCGACTAATTATGTTAAAGCTTATGTCAGAGACTTCGACGTGTTTAGGTCCTGTCGTTGATATTGAACTCGAAGAAGGAACCATGATATATTACTCCTTTGCCATAGGAACTGGGATGTTCTATCTATGTAATATATATTTTACATAACATAACATCACGCCTTTTATCCCCGAAGGAGTAGGCAGAGGTGCACACAGAGGTAACACCCACTTTTCACTATTTATTTTATGTAATAGGGGCTGAGCCTATTGCCATATACCGGGCACATTTCCAGACTCCGTGTTACTACTGAGATTTTTTTTTAAAACCCAGTAATACTTTACCCGACCCGGGAGTCGAACCCGAATCCCCTTGCCCGGTAGTTGCACTTGCGACCACCCGGCCAACGAGGCAGTCATATATTTTATATTGTGAAATACTTACAATTTTATGTTATGGACTCCATTCAAAAGGCTTAGTGAATAATTCCTTCTAATATCTCAATCGTGCATTCCAGCACGTTAGAGCGGACACGTAAATATTAAACATGCGCCCGCACTGATCCCGTAAATGCCCCTCTGCCACTACCCTACCGTGTTTACTTGAGTACAGCATGTCAGCGTGCTTAGACCTTTACACCTTACTACGCTTAGGAACTCAAAACTTCAACATTACTTAACTACCATATAAACCTCTCCTTTACTTTTAATTACTTATCATTACAAAAAAACCTAAGTTAGCATCTTGCTTATACATTATCACAGGAATCTAATTACAAGTACCAACTTTCCCTTTAAACAAACCAGACGAGGTGACACTCTTCTAGTATTCCTAGTATGATGTTTTATACCTATTGCAATTCAAAAACCTTTTTGCATTCAAATTTGAACTCAAGGCAACGTCAAAAGCACATCGGGTACTCTTAGGTGGTACTCTATTACCACCTAGTCAAAGAAAGCTAGTTTCCACCAAGGTAATTTGGTCATAGAATGAAGCATATCGTCAAAACAAAAGAGGTAACTACTAAAGTACACCTTTAGAGTATCATAATGTCAATGTAGAATATCGTAGTGTTGCACGAAGGTCGAGAAAACAAATTTGTCGTTATCAAAACCCTTTTATAGAACTGTTTAAGCATTGATCATTAAGTATGTTATTGCAGTAATTTGATAAATTTATTCAAAATAATATAAGCCGCTTACAACTGACTTCAGAGATCGTCTTGAGACAATACAAGCTAGTTTGAACACCATGACACACAATGCAATTTACAATTCTTCCAATACGACTCCTGCCCGCCATTGATCCTCTTACGATATTACATCTTCCATTTTAAATTACTCCATACTTCAAATTGGAACTATTATATTTTACAAACTTCAATTGAAGCAAAACGTAGTAAACATTTTACAGTAATACAAATTTATTGGCCTCCCTTTGTAGTGTTGTTTTTGTTAATAATAAATGATATTGATCCATATAGAAGCTTTTAAAACTGCAGACACTTCATATGACAGTGACTGATTCGTCAATCCGATACTCACAATTTTATATCCTGTGTTGTACACGAGTTGTACAAAGTAACAATACAAAATTACATACTCGCCGAGAGCGAACAAGGGGTATTAATACCAGTTAGCAATATTAATTAATACACAAACGTTGATCTATATCATATGGGTATACAAAATCGAGTTTTTCTAATCAAATCAGTGCAGTTTTCGATACTCACAATCTCGCATAGATTAATTAAACTAATGAACTCTTGCGTACACACAAAACGAAGATCAGAAACCAGTTTTGCGCTCAAAATTAAACCGATTTCTTGTCTATAAAACATGTGTACAGTGAAAATTCTATTCATAGGCATCCGTAACAATTGAATACATGTGTAAGCTATTTGTTAGAAACGAAAGTACCCTTGTTTTTTCTTATATCTGTTTGTTT